TGTGACGGCGCGTTGGGGGTTCCCCGTCTCCTGCACCCCGAAATGGCACAAACAGACTGCACCAGCCAGTGGAATTGAGGGTGGTTTATTGCTCCTCCAGCACAGCGCAGCACAGATGTAGTCTGGTCACAGGAACTGGGCTAGGATGCCTCAGGCCCCCTTGAGATGGGGGAGACTGGGCCCCTAAACTCCAGCCCCTTCCCCTAGGCTCTCCTCCATGCCCCCCGACAGCCAGCAACCAACTCACTGACTTCCAGCCCTGCCCCCCAGCCAAGGCAGCATTCCACCTTCCTTTGTTCCTCTCCATGGGGGGTGTCTGGCCACTGGTTTGCATAGTGACTCATCCTGTTTTGCTGGGTCGTGGTACCCACGGCAGCCAGTGGGGGTTCCCCCAGAGCCAGCAGCATAGAAACCAGCCAGGTACCCCCACTACGTCACATGCCCTCTGCTGCGTTCCCCAGCCGAGCTCGCGGTCGGGGTAGCGGGGTGGGCCCAGGGAGCACAGCAGCGCCTCGCCGAATTGTACTCGGCTCTCCTGCCACCTGAGCCCGTCGGCCTCTGTCCCCAGGAGGCCTGGCTGCTGTCCCGGGAGCGAGAGCTCAAGGAGGAGGTGAGGAAAGAGAGGGACAGGGAGATCGAGCTGGTCATCCGGCGCCTGGAGGCCGACATGACGTCCGTCAAGGAAGAGTGCGAGAGGGTGGCTGAGAACAGGTAGGAAGGGGCCAGGTGGCTGCCAAGACCCCGAGCCCCCAGCCCAGTCTGGAATCTCTCGCTGGGCCCAGCCACGGCCACGCTGAGCGGCACGTGGGAGGATGCCCAGGGCTTAGAGCAGAGGTTTGGGGAAGGTCCAAACCGTATGGCGGGGCAGGCTGGGCCCTCCCAAACCGCCAGGCATGGCCCTGCCCACGCTCTGCCCCCAGAGCCCCTGCCGTGGGCCTTCTAGGGCCGGAGTGTTGCTGCCCCCCAGCGCCTGCCCTCCGGGGCTGGGGAGGCTGAGCTGGCCTCAGCCAGGCCGCGTGGTGCAGTGCGCCTTCCCCTGGGGCAGGTTTGCAGCCTCACACACTGCATGGCAGAGCAGATGCTTCCCTGCTGGCGCCCGTCCACGCCCACAGCTAGGAAAGCATTAGACAAACAGGAGTCCTGTTGGGCAGGGCTCCCTTCAACAGCTGGAGCCTCTCCGGGGCTGGGGAGGCTGAGCTGGCCTCAGCCAGGCCGCGTGGTGCAGTGCGCCTTCCCCTGGGGCAGGTTTGCAGCCTCACACACTGCATGGCAGAGCAGATGCTTCCCTGCTGGCGCCCGTCCACGCCCACAGCTAGGAAAGCATTAGACAAACAGGAGTCCTGTTGGGCAGGGCTCCCTTCAACAGCTGGAGCCTGGCCTCCTTGCCTGCCCCGGGCCTTCAAAGGACAGGACAGTCCCTGTGGCTTAAAAGTGGGCAAGTGAAAACGGGTGAAAGGAAACGTGTTTCCGCCCCGTGTGTGATTAGCCGGTGGAGCCCCCAGCCACAGGAGGTTGAGGCCAATAATCCGTGGGGCTGGGACGTGAAACCACCTGCTTAAGGGCTGAACCACCTCTAAGGTCTGAGACCCCAGGGGCGTGAGGTCACCCCGGGCCTGCGCTGGTGGGGGATGGGGGGCGGGGCCTCGTCTCTGACCCAGGCTGGCTGTTTGCCCAGGATAAGGCGGGTCCGCGACAAGTACGAAGCGGAGCTGCAGGAGCTGGAGAGGGCGGAGCGGAAGCTGCAGGAGCGCTGCAGCGAGCTGAAGGGGCGGCTGGCTGAGCTGGAGGGCCAGAACATGCACCTGCAGGGCCTGGTGAAGCTCAAGGAACAGGAGGCGGAAGACCTCAGGCAGGTGAGTGCAGGCCAGGCGCTCTGCTGCCCAGGTGTGTGGGACGCTCCCCAAGGAGCCCCCCCTCCCTGCACGGAGCCCCCAGGGATGCCCTGTGCCCCGCAGGTGAAGGACCAGCTGGCCCAGGAGAGGAGCAGCCTGTCGGAGGTGATTCGCCAGGAGTTTGCCGACAGGCTGGTGGGCGTGGAGGAAGAGAACAAGCGGCTGAAGGCCGAGATGGCGGAGATGAGAGCCCGCCAGCGCCTGGAGCTGGACCGGGTCGCGCGGGACAAGGACGAAGAGCTGGAGGAGGTGCACAGGAGGTGAGGGCTGAGCTCACGTTCTGCCGCACTTGGGCTCAGCTGTGGCAGGGCCGGGGTGGGGAGACTGGCCCTTGTCACGGGTCCCGGTGCTGCGCTTTCTATGCGTCCTCGGAGCCAGCTGTCTCCCCAGGCTTTCTGCTGCCCTGCCCTGCCCTGCCCTGATCCCTGCCCCCGCCCTGCAGCAGCTCGGTAGCACTGGAAACCGGAGGGGCTGCTCCTTTGCTGGCCTGGCTAGGGGGCCTTCGCGTGGGCAGACGTGCCGCTGCGCTCGGATTCCCTGGCAGGCTAGCACTGTGAGCACCTGGCTTCTCCCTGGCTACAGCCGGCTCGGTCAGGTGCTCCCAGGGACCTTGCCGTCCCACCCTGCAGCAGCCCTGGGCGCTGAAGATGGCAAGCCGCAGCGCTGGCCGGCTGGGCAGTCTGGCCAGAGAGGTGGAGAAGAGCAGGTCTGGCTGAGGCGGGAAGTCTGGGGCGAGGGGGCGGCACCCTCAAGCCAGGAGGTAGAGGGGAAGGCTGTTCCCTGGCTGGCAAAGGGCTCGTGAGCTGCCGTGCGGGTGAGCTCCGCAGTCACAGGCGTTCCCGTTGTCCGTTGTACTGCGCAGTTTGTGCGCCCAGACCTGGGCGGGTACCCGGGGAGCAGCGGGCACTGGTGCGGCGTGCTAGTGTCTCCATGCAGGTGGTGCGACTGCACCAGTCCCTCGCACGGCCCTGTGGAATAAAGTAAAAGGTTCGGGAATGTGGCTAGTCCCAGGGAGGCGCAGAAACAGGCAGGCAGGCCCCGTCTCTGCCTCTCGTGTTCGTGGCCGGGGAGCGGCCTTGTGGTGCGGAGCAGTCCCTGGCTCCAATTCTGACATGCTCTAGCTGGGCCACGTTCCCCCTCAGCCGGCTGGCTTCCCTACCCTCCATCCAGCAGGCTGAGCCTGCTGCCGACACCGGCTGTCTGCCTGAGGTCCCCAGACCAGGGCTCGGCTGCCTGAAATCGCTCGGGAAGGTCGCCACCAGCTGGAGCGGGGAAGACGGTGGCTGAAGCCCCAAGGGCTGTGACGGGCCGCTGGCAGTGCCAGGGCAGCATGACCAGGACCAGAAAGACCCTGGCAAGCAGAGGCAGCGTTTAGGCCAGTCGCCTCCGTGTGTTTTGGGTCATTTGAGCACAGCAGAGTCACCACCTCCCCCAGCACTGGACGCTGGATCCAGGCCCCCCCCCACTTCCTGTCGGACCTGCGCACGGGTTTCCTTAGCCTGTTCCCTGCCAGCGCAGCAGGCTCCGTCGGCGTGTGCGGGGCGCGGGAGTCCCAGGAGGGGCCCGAGGCCGTTCCCTCGGTTGCTGGCCCCTCGGCGTGGCGGTCGGGGCGCGAGGCTCAGCCGGTCCCCTTGTCTCCGTGCAGAGTGAAGGTGGCCATCGTGAAGAAAGAGGAGGCCGTGAACGTCCTTCGGAAGCAGCACGACGTAAGTGTCCCTGCGGGCGGGAGTGCTAGACGTGGCCCGCGGGGCTGCCCGCCCCCGGCCCTCGTGGCGTCTAACCTCGGCTCCCTCCCGTCTTCTCGTTTGCTCCAGGCGGCTGTGAAGCGGGCAGACCACCTCGAAGCCCTGTTAGAGCAACAGCGCAAACAGCTGCTGGCTACTAAATAACAGCCCAGCTGCCGGGTGCCATTGCCCTGCCGCAGGATGGCAGGAACAAGGGCTTCCGCGTCCGGTAGATGGCCTGTGTGCGCCTGCACTCCGTCCGTGCGGGTGCACGGGGCTGGAAACGGAGTCTCCCTCCCCCTCCGACTGTGCTCTTCTCTTTACACCGTCTGTGACTGGGGCTTAAGCCCGACCCCTTGCTGCGGACTCCCAGGTCCGGCGCCTGCGTGGTATTTTACCAGTAAACTGCGTGTTTCTAAGGCTGGCTGAGCGGTGGTTGCTGGGCGGGCGGGTGCCGGGCAGCACCTGGGAGAGCGCTCTTTGGAGAACGGCGTCCGGATATGCACCAGGAAATGCGCCTGCCCTTCCTTAGCGTGGGGCCGTGCACTGGGGCTGCTCCCGGGCTTTTCTCTGGGCCGGCGAGAAGGGGTTTGCGTGACCCAGACGCTCCGGCTGCCCACCGTGAATGCGGACGCATCCCCGCTCTCGCAAAGGGTAGAGCAGCGAGTTTAGAGGGAAATAAGCCATCACCGCGCCTCCCTGCGCCCGCACGCCGCGCCGGACAGTGACTCTGTTTCCCACCTCCGGCAGAGCTGCCCTGAGCCCACGCACGGGGGTGAGTGAGCGATCGCTGCCCCTCGGGGATTGGTGGGAGGCAGCGTTCCCTCTTGTTCCTTGCAGGGCTGGGAAAGTTGTGCTGGGCACCGCTGGGGCAGTGTGTGCTGCACAGAGGTGATGTGTGACACATCTTCTTGGGGCATTTAAAACAGATGTGGCAAGGTGGGGACAAGGGGGAGGGAGGCTTAGGCCTGGGGCAGTGGGTTTGGGGTTCAGGGCTGTGGGGGGCTGTGGGATGGGCCAGGGATGAGGGGCTCAGGGCTGGGACGGCCAGAGGGTGTGAGGGCTCCGGCTGGCGGTGCGGGCTTTGGGATGAGGTTGAGGAAAAGGGGCCCAGGCCTGGAG